TTTGGTCTGGCGAGAGGTGGCCTTGCTTTTGAGTTGCTTACTCAGACCATAGTAGCATCTGTTGACCAACACTATTCTCCTCCGGATTTCAAAACTGATGTTATTAGTTTTGTTTATGGCGGTACCGAGTTATATAAAATCGTTTTCTACCTTGAAGCTATGGTTTTTAAGTTCCACAGTTGGTCCGAGTCTATTGGACGTCCTGCGCGTTGATACCATAAGCTTGGTATTTTCGCCATTTACTGCCAGTCCCACCTTGGCAGACTCCTTCTTAATTCGTTCAAATGTGGCTGTTACCGCTCGCAATTTTCGATCTATTATGTTGATGTCGTCGGGGTAGGCGAGTAACATATGCTGTTTGGTGTACAAAGTGTCATTTCTGCTCACATTTGCACCTCGTATGACCTTTTCCAGCAAGATGTTGAACAGGTTACACGACAAACTGTCACATTGTCTGAATTCTCGTTCGGTATTGAAGGGCTCCTAGAGGTTCTTTTCGACTTTAACTGCTGACATTGTACCAGTTAAAGTCATCCTGCATAGCCATTTTAATTTAGTTCGAATGTAGAATGCGGCTTTATATTCGACGAATAGGTGGAGTGTGTCAATGTGTTTTTCGTGGATGTTTTCCAGGATTTGGTGCAGAGTGAAAATTTGGTCAATATGCCAAGCCTGAAGCCGCATTGGTATGGTCCAATAATGTCATTGACCATTGGCTACAATCATTCACACAGCACGCGATGGAAAGCAGACTTATTTATCTATAGTTGGCACATATAGTCTTGTCTCCTGTTTTGTGCACGGGACACAGGATGCTGAGGTTGCAATCAAAATGTACTAACCAAATTGTACTAATCAGCTGGTGCACGCTCCTGACCACCAGTCTTGAATAGTTCGGCTGGTAACTCACCTGCTTTATTATTCTTCAGCCGATTAATTGCTACTCTGACCTCATCTTGTCTAGGTGGTATACTCAACACATTGTCTGTATCTGTCACCAGGTTTCCATCTTCATCTCTACAGGAGGATGTGCCTGCGCCAATACCTTCGGTTTTGTGTTTTACACGTTGGTAAAATGTCCGGACTTCATTCTGATTCCTGTACATCTCGATTTGATCACGCTCACGCGCCCATTAATATAAATTTCTATAATTACTTACCTTACCCCAATCGTAATTCAAAATTTCAGGATTCCCACTCTATCGGATCACCTAAATCCAAATTGTATCAACCAAATTAGTACCATTTAGTACCCATAAGTACAAATTTCCATTACTACCTGCATCATGCAATCCAATAGAACACATTTTTCCCAATTTCTGGATTCCAGAGCTCTCGATTTCCCCTAAATCGAAAGTGTACCAAATTTAGTACACAAAAGTACGAATATCCAAAACTATTTACATACCTCAATTCTACACTCCAACAATAATTTTAAGTATTTAGTATTCCTGCATCGGTTCAACTAAGCCCAAATTGTATCAAATTTAGTACCATTTAGGATTCATAAGCACAATTTACCAAAACTACATCTACATACCCCTCCTACACAATAATCTTATTTCCAAATGTTAGTGTTCCACCTCTATCGGTTCACCTAAATCCAAATTGCACAAAACTTAGTACACATTAGTAGAAAATTCCCAAAACTTCCTTACATATCTCAATCCTAAACTCCAACAGTGATCCTAACTCCAAATTTCAGGATTTCAGCACTTTTGGTTTACCCAAAATTCAAATTGTACCACATATTGTACAATTTAGTACTTTTCGTACATAAAAGTACAACATTCCAAAACTACCCAAATTTCGCCATCCTACACTCCGACTTCATTAGAAATTTCAGGATTCCAGCTTCATTCTTTTATCTAAATTCAAATTGTACCAAATTTAGTACAGTTTAGTACTTTTCGAAATTTTTTTCCAATTCATCTGATTCTTCCTGTCGGCCCCACGCCCTCCTCCTCCCCTTAATAAAACCTCTATTTTATTAAAAGTTTTTAGAAATGTTTTGCATTTCCTTTGTAGAATATTCTACAAATTAATACATAATTATGAGGCAGCTTCTGATGTGACCCGGCATTATGCTGGAAATGTCAAAATAAATGTAAAACAACAACAATAATAACATGCAATGACATTACAACAAAGGCCGCCACATTATTCGTTTGATGTTTTTCTTTATTTCGCTCGCTTTTCATTTCATAATATTTTCGTCCGGCTTCTAGAAGTTTTCCAATTTGGCTTTTGAACATTCTAACGCCGAACATGAACATACCTTTGATACATATATAAATATACATACATACATTTATAAACTTTGACCGGTTTTCTGTGCAGAAAACTATACTAGTGGGTTGCTGCAGCTCAAAGCTTTTCCGTTGCAGCAGCTGCAATGTGCAGCAGCATATCTGCCACAACCATTTTTAAACTTGTTCTAGAAGCCGCAGCTGCAATGGTAGTTTTAAAGCTCTGCTCTTCTGCTATGTTTGGGTTCAATGTTCGCTTTTGGTTTCGTTAAGAAAAAGCTCAGCGTTATATCCGTCCGCCAGTCAGCAGACAACCCCACCACGACCGCTATTTGCTGCTTCTTTAGGTCATTGCAGTTTATTGAACCTCGATGTTATGATGCTCTAGGTAGCTAGCCTAGCTGGTAGTAGCTGGTACTCTGTTCTTGATTGCCAACCTCTGCCCCCCCCCCCCCCAAAACAAAATCTAGGCTACATCATCGTGCAGTGCAATACAATGTGATGAAAGTGAAATACTATGTAAAAAAAGAAAGATGGCAGCGGTGCGGCAGCAGGACCTCTTTTTCTATATTATTTGTTTGGAAAGTGAAAGTGAAATTTAAATCGATAGAATTCTAGAAAAGGCTGAATTCCTGCTATACAAGGACCAATGTGCTGTCGTTGCAGTTGTTATTATTTTTTTTTTAATTTGATTGTAGGCTCAATTGTTTGGGTGGGTTGGGTTTTGTGTCCTTTTTTTTTTTTTTTTTTGATAAAAAAGGGAGGAAATGTAGAATATACAATTAATTCAAAGTTTTTTGTTGTTTTATTTATGGCTTGGAATCATCTAGAAAGAGAGGCTATGAAAGGACACCTTATAAAAATAAAAATATAGATCATTGAAAACATGTTATTTAAATATCTATGCCTATCGAAAATGGCAAAAAATGGGCGAACAAAGCTCCAAAAATATTGCTTAATAATCCACGCCTAGCTAAGGACCAAAAAATATTATTTAAATATCTATGCCCATCGAAGGACCAAAAAGTATTATATTTAAATATCTATGCCCATCGAAAGACCAAAAAATATTCTATTTAAATATCTATGCCCATCGAAGGACCAAAAAATATTCTATTTAAATATCTATGCCTATCGAAGGACCAAAAAATATTATATTTGAATATCTATGCCAATCTAAAGGCGCAACATTTTTTTAATTATCTACGCCTAGCGAAGGACCAAAAACTATTCCTACATCAATCCGAAGCACCAAAAAAATATTTTTTTATAAATCTACGCCTGACGAAGGACCAACAAATATTTTTTTATAAATCCACGCCTGGCGAAGGACCACAAAACATTTTTTATATATCCACGTCTGAGGAAAAAATAAAAATATCTTTAAATAAATACAAGCCTAGTAAAGGAGCAAAAAAATATTTTATAAGGACTAAAGAAGGACCAACAAATATTTTATTTAAAAATGTTTGCATACTTTACGGCTTTAAAACTTAATATCAATCACAAAAACCATTCTATCCCTAACAATATTCTCAAAAAAAATCCTAAACTTCAAAATACCCCTAAAGATATTTTCAAAAATTCGTATTTATATCGAACAAAATCCATGATTGAGATGAGCCTTGAAAAAATCTTCTTTAAAAATCCGCACTTGAGATGGGCTTTGAAATTCTTCAAAAATTATTCTTTAATATATCTAGCTTTTGATCGGTCTTGAGATGGGACTTGAAAAAATATTCTTTAATAATTCCACGCTAGAGATAGAATCCAAAGATATCGAAAGATATGTAAAAGGGACTTTGGCGCCCCTTTTACATTAAATCGGACGAAAACATCTATGGGAGCTATATCCAAATCTGAACCGATTTTGACGAAAGTTAGCACACATCATTCTAGACTTACTTCAGTGCGCTATGCCAAATTTCGTGCAAATCGAAAGATATATAGGGACTTCGGTACTCTATTTCTATAAAATCGGACGAAAATATATATGGGAGCTATATCTAAATCTGAACCGATATTCACCAAACTTGTCACACATTATTCTACACTTAATTTAATACCCTATACCAAATTTCGTGCAAATCGAAACATATATAGGAACTTTGGTGCACCATCTCTATTAAATCGGACGAAAATATATATGGGAGCTATATCTAAAACTGAACCGATTTATCGGATGATAAATGCGACCTGTACTTTGTTTACAATTTAACATGGACAGACGGACGGACATGCATAAATCGACTCAGAAAGTGATTCTATGCATACTCTCAAAAGGAACCATGTGTCTATCTCGTTTCCTTTTGCCTGTTACAAACATATTCACATAGACATAGGGTTTAAAGGGTATAAAATTCCACACCTTATGGAACCCTTAAAAATAGTCTTTTAAACATCCACACATTGTTTTAGCCCTGAAAAAATATACTTTAAAAATTCACGTCTGGTTTTAGGCTTGCAAAATATTCTTAAATGCATTTAAAATATTTGTTTCAAATATTCAAGCCGATAGACCCTACCAAAATATGTTTCTATTTTAAAATCTATGCCTAGACTCTCAAAAAACATATTTTTAAAAGTCACTTCTATTGTCCTTTTGAAAAAAATATATTTTTTTGTTATTTCTCAAAAATGGAAAATTGTTTTTTATTTTATAAAAAAAAAATATATATATATATATATACATATAAAATAGTTATCATCTAAAACTAATTATAACATATTCCTTTCCTTTTTTCTTTACAGAGGACGTAAACGTTTTGTCTCCGAAGGAGACGGTGGCCACGTTAAGCCACCAACTCTTCCATTGCGTGACTAAAAATCCGTGTTTTTCCATTTCTCTCTCCAATTGCATCCGAATATATTATAACAACACTTTTTAATGGAATACAACAAAATAATTATAATAACAACAACAAAAATATACTACATATAAATTCACAAATTTTGACCACTTGAAATTTTCAACCTACCAGATCCACCCAAAACAATAAAGAGAATATAAAAGAAGTAGCCGAAAAATAAATATATCGAATAACAAAAACAAAAAAGATTTAAATGGATAAGACAACAACAAATGTTTATACTACACACACACGATATTGAAAAATAACAAAAACAAAAGTCTACGTATTATTACAAAAACAAAACAATATATATCGGATTATAATAAAAAATTTTAAAAAATATATATGGGCTATTTTTTAAGCCCCTTCATCATCTAACATGAGAATGACTACAGGAAGTGTGGAGATACGAACCTACTACTTACTCCTCCATAAAAACAATGAAGAACACAGTTTCTTGGTCCCCCTGCAGCAGCACTGGACATCATTACAAAACGGAAAAAATGGAAAACAACACCCCAAGCAAGTTGAGAGAAAAATGGTGTATATGGAATGGATTATAATATCTTTTAGAGTAGAGAAACCAGAAATTTGAAATATTCCTTCTATAGATACTACGAATACTTCTAACCACACTACCACCACCAATACCATCATCATCCATCATCGTTATCATCACCAATACAACGGCAACAACCACATAAAAACTTTTATTATTATAAAGAAAGAAGAAGAAAAAAACGAAAAAACCCACAAAAAAATTGATCTCTATTAAATGTTTTTGTTCATTACAAAATATTATCCCCATCCATCTTTACCCACCCCCCTATACACTTACACATTCAACTCTTTTTCTTATCATCATGTTTCAAAAACACACAAAAATGCATAAGATACTACAACAACAACTACTATATTCTATATTACTTTTTCTTAATTATTTTTATTTTTTTATATAAATCATCATAAATATAACAAACAAAAACAATGAATGAAATGAAGAAATAAATGAAACAAACAAAAAATAAATGTGACATCCTAAAAGTATGCTTTATAATTTGAAAATTATTTTTTATTACCTTGATTGGGTGAAACCTTGACCAAAAAACTATTTTTTGTTGGGTTGTTTTGCAATCAGAAAAATTACAAATAGCACTAGGTTGAATATTCTTCAAAGACTCATACGCCATGAAGCATGCCTACAGTCCCTAGGAAAGAAGAAATCTAAACATTTCACACCTATAGTCCATATTGGTGCAGAAGCCTGTGTATGAAGGAAATTATATCATTGTCACAGTATAGATATTAATAGACTTTATATTAACTAAGCAGAAACTATAGTAGTTTCCTATATCTTTAGGTTAGGAAAGTCAGCGGACAACTTCACTTGGAGTACATTGCTTTCATTTGGAAAAAATAACTTCTATTCCTGCAGTGTTCTGATGAGATTTATATCTCAGTGTTCCAAATTAATGGCCAAATCAGTTTGTATGTTCTCCATTAGGCATCTTAAGTAGCATGATCTAGCCAGGTAGTATGAAGGTGCAATCTCGCATAAGATCATAGAAATCTTTCGATATAATAGAAACATGTTGTTTGTAAGCCGACTTTGAGTAAGCTTTCTGAGCCCAACTAAATTTTTTTCGATTTTTTTTTTGGATCGGTTTAAAATCGTGTTTGAACTGAAACTGAACTAAATATTCTGTATCATCTCATCCAATTTGAAAGAGCATTTTCCGAGATGTTGTCTTTTACTTGATCTTTCCATCGGATTTGTGGCCTCTTCTGCTTGTGGAAGTACCCATGCTTCAGATCTATACAACAGCACGGTTAATATCAGCGACTTGTAGAGTTTGAGTTTGGTCTGGTGAGAAGCGGCTTTGCTTTTGAGTTCCTTACTCAGACCATAGTGGCATATGTTGGTCAACACTATTCTCCTCCGGATTTCTAAACTCATGTCATCCGTTGTATTTTTGGCGGTACCGAGGTATATAAAATCGTTCACTATCTCGAAGCTGTAATTTTCAAGTTCCACAGTTGGTCCGAGTCTACTGGACGTCTTGCGCATTGATACCATCAGCTAGGTCCTTTCGCCATTTACTGTCAGTCCCACTTTGGCAGACTCCTCAATTAGTTCAAAGGTGGCAGTTACCGCTCGCAATGTTCGACCCATTATGTCGATGTCGTCCGCGTAGGCGAGTAACATATGCTGTTTGGTGTACAGTGTGCAATGTCTCTTCTAATTTGCATATCGTATGACCTTTTCCAGCAGGATGTTAAAAAGATCACACGACAAACTGTCACCTTGTCTAAATTTTCGTTCGGTATTGAAGGGCTCCAATAGGTCCTTTCCGACTCTTAAACTGCTGACATTGTGCCACTTAAAGTTATCCTGCATAGCCGTATTAATTTTGCAGGAATGCCGAACGTAGACATGGGTTTAAACACCTCTGAACGGATAGGGCTGTCGAATGCGGCTTTATAGTCGACGGATAGGTGGTATGTGTCGATGTGTTATTCGTGGGTCTTTTCCAGGGTTTGGTGCAGAGTGAAAATGTGGTCCAATAATCTGGTAATTGACCCTTGGTTCCAATCGTTCACACAGCACTCTGGATAGCACTATATATGCGATGGGAAGAAGGCTAATTCCTCTATAGTTGGCACATATCGTCTTGTCTCCTTTTTTGTGCACGGGACACCGGTTGCTGAGGTTCCAATCATTGGGCATGCATTCCTTTAGCCAAATTATACTAATCAGTTGGTGCATGCTCCTTACCAGCATCTGACCACCTGATGCATTATTATTCTTCAGCCGATTGATTGATATTCTGACCTCATCTTGGCTATGTGGTATACACTCTATACCGTCATTTCTTATTGGTTCTGGGTATCTTCTTTATCGCCACTAGTTGATAACAAAACCTTTTCAAAAAGCTCCTTCCAGATCCTCAGTACGCTGTCTGTATCTGTAACCAGGTTTCCTTCTTCATCTCTACAGGAGGCTGTGTATGCACCAAAGCCTTCTGTTTGGTGTTTTAGTCGTTGGTAAAATTTTCGGTCTTCATTTTGACTCCTGTACATCTCGATTTGCTCACGCTCACGTTTTCCTTGTTCTTTTTTGTGAAAATACGTTTCTCATCTTTCCTTTCCCCCGATAATTCTCCATCGCAAACTTTACACATCGGAATAACTATAAAAATTATGAGCATTTGTGATAATTGCACCCTCTTGCCCGATTACAGGTCAACAGCACCACTCTTCCGAATATTACTAATATTCAGTACAGCCCTTCTAATTACTTGTCCAGATTCCCTTCTCCGTTGGCTATGTTGTTATGTTCGGCTTCTAATTGTGGCCTATATTTCGACTCGAAAAAAAACAGAAAATAAAATAATTTTCAATCCACTTCATACAAATTTTTTTATCTGGTCATCACCGAAAATAATAGGCGTTGTCCTTGACCATAGCTGGAACCTGATGGAAAATTGCAAAGCGATTATAACTAAATAATATCTGAATACGTAAGCACCTGTAAATATTCAAGTGTAACTCCCACATACGAATACATACGACAAATATAACAATTTGTATCAATTTAAAGGTTAACCATTCCTCTTGGATATACGATCAACTTCTCGGGGTCTATATCCTTCAGGAGTAAATATATACGGCATAGAATACAAATGTTGTAATTTTTACACAAAAGTCAGGGTCCATTTGACCAGCTAAATAATGACCGATCTTTATCAAAGCAGGCATTTATATTCTTTAGCCCGACCCCCTTCGCTATTTTCGGGCCATAATTGCGGCCTCTGGAGCGACCACAAAAAATTAAGTATTTGTTCCATTTCATCGCCTAAATATTAACCGATCTTTGCGAAAAAAAACAATAGGGGCCTTCATTGGCCAGAACCCGCCCAACATACAAAATTTCGTGAAAGTTGGTCCATTATAATGCACAAGCGGACGTACGGACACACACGTCTAGATCGGCTCAGCTAGTCAAGATATGACGATCGGTATACTTAAAGGTGGGTCTGGCACCAATATTTCGCGGCGTTACGAACTGCACAAATCTATTATATAAAACCTACACATAGTTGTGTAGGGTATAAAATGAATTTGGAATAAAGTTCTAAAATCCGAACTACTTCTATTTCTTGGTGGGCTTGGAAATATGAGACATATATTTTTTAGCATTATCGGATCTGCAGGTTGTATGACTCCATATAAAATATACCATATAATTTCTTATTTGTACACACACTCACAACAATATATTAGTGTAGTCAACTAACTACTGCCTACAAAAAGTAGAAATTATAATTTCCAATTATTTATAATAAAAATATACACTCAATAAAAAAAGTCTGCATAGCGCACTACATACAATACGATAAGAAAACAATCAGTATATATGTGAAACCATTTTTGGAACCATTAATGCTGTCCGCAGACTTTTTCGGATGAGTGAACATAGCAGTCATCATACACAAACAAATTAGTATCCTATAAAACTTCTTCATTTGAAAAAATTAACCAAAAAAGCATAGAACTAATAATTGAAAGAAAAAAATATAATCCTGTAATATTTTTTTTATTTAAGATTATAAAGAAAAACAAATCTGGTATTAATTCTTACTTTGTAGAATGTTTCTTACTTTGGATCTAGTTTTCAAGAATTCATATTTATTGTGAATGAACTACCTGCCCCGCCCATACCGAATACACGAAGAAGAACATAACCAAAACGTGTGAAAATACTGAAAATTATGGTCATGCATTTGAAATCACCTTTAATGGAATTTTCAACTTTTGTCACATTTTGAAAAATATATTTCAAAATAATCATAAAAATTATAATTTTCGTTTTTTTGTCATTATTATTTAAATATATATGTATATTTCTTTTACTTTATTTCATTATTTTTCAAACTTTTCAAATGAAAAAAAACGCAATACACAAAACTAATCCTCCTCTCCCCACAATTTTTTG